ATAATATAAAATTTAAATGTAAAAAAAAAAGTTAGAATTTGGTATGTTTGACTTGTAAGTTTAACAGCCATCACAGAAAACAAAATTGCTACACAAAAGTATATATTTATATAAAGAAGACATCACAGGCTATTTATTTAAGGGTATTTTTACACTTTTTACATAGCCATTTTCCCACCAATCTCTGCTACATATTGTAGTAAAATTGTATTTTTTCTGTTTTTTGAAATACACACATATAACAAGGTTTTTTAAATGTATATTTTGTTAAGCTGCTCTGTTCTATTCCTGGTCAAAATCCCATTTTGTGTTCAGCTACATCTGCTGAGTACAACAATACCCCCATTGTACAAGGCAAAGTTTCGCCAATTGGTTTTGGGAAGCTGGGCAATGTGAAATATAAGAGGCCAGACTATTTCAGTTTCTACAGTTAGAAAATTCAAAGATGGATTTAATGGACCTATGTCTTATTTTGGGGCATTATAGTAGTTTGGTTGTTCAAATGACCACACAAAGGCCTTCCATTCGTGAAAGTAGACACTCCATGGTATCTCATATGGCATATATTTTGCCTTAACGGTTCACCATTTATTCACCATTATATGTCAAAATTTGTGTTAAAAAATATTTTCCGCATTTTTTCCTTAAGCATTACATTTGTGCTGGGCATTTTGTATATTTGATATGTTCCACTATGGTCAAACACCCCTAATTATGCTCAGCTTAATCTTCTGAGTAAAACAATACCCCCAATGTATGTCTTTGACACTATTTGGTGACGCTACAGTGCCATAAAGGAGACCTGACCATTTCAGTTTTTAGAGTAGAATTTTCAGAGACGAATTTGCAGGGCTTATGTTTCAATTTGGGCCATTATAGCAGTTTGACTGTTTCAATAACCGCAAAAAGGCCTACCATTTGTGAAAGTAGACACTCCAGGGTATCTCATATGGCATATATTGTGCCTTAACATGTCGCCATTTTTTCGCCATTATATGTCAAAGTTTGTGGTAAAAAAATATTTTCACATTTTTTCCTTAAGCATTACATTTGTGCTGGGCATTTTGTATATTTGATATGTTCCACTATGATCAAACACCC